CCTCAGTACGGCAGCAGAGAGACTCTGCGACACGCCCTGGGTCGCGCCAAAGTCGCGCGAGCCGACGGGGAACTTAGACGACTTGGGAGCCGGCTGGCGTCTTCAGCACGATGCCCGGCGAACTCGGCACCTGCCACCCAAGGGGAAGGCTGGGGATTCGTTAATGGAGATGTCATCATGAGAAAATCAAGAGCAAAGCTCATGTGAGCGAGGAACATACGAGGCTGGTTCTGGTATTTGCCCTGAATCTGCAGGATATCGAAAAAGTTTGTCGCCGCGGCATGGACCTGGATGAGATACTCGTCTTTCTTGGGCGTGGGGTCGGGCAGGTCAGTGACCTTCAACTCCTTAGGGCCCTGCGATATCTCAGTCAGTGTCATGCTCTGCTGGTTCAGGAAGGCGTCGTACCTTGACGTATTCCTTGACTTCGATGCCCCTCATATTGGCGGTGGTCGAAGGGTATATTGTATGGGGGGCGATGGGGCAGAAGAGTACGAGCAAATCAAGATGGATTGAACGCTGAGTGTATGGCTTGACGAGTAGCAATTGAAACGCAGATGATTGTCACCAGTTGAAACCAATACGCCGAAGAGATGAGGATGAAGTTGGATGAAGCTTCCTTCCAAGGGGGGATTGAGCTTAGGGAGCTCATGAGGGGCAGCCGAGGCTCAGCGATGCAGTTGCCGGGCGTAACCCCAGATCGGGGACCAGCGTCAATGCACAGTCGAGCGCGATTCGTTCTGGGGACCCCAGGCCTGTGGTCGCCCGAGGCGGGGCTCGTTTCGGGAATCGTCAGTGAGGTGGCGTGGCGTATTTGCCGACTGTCTGTTGTCATCCGTGGCTGGTGGCCGAATCTGTCTGTCTGTGGCTGGCACCTCCGTCCTACTCCTACCTCCTACCTGCTTATTCGGTACCTAGGTAGGTGCCTAGCCTCAGTGTCACATCACGTCACATCACCACTACCACGACCACTGCCTTGGGACGAGATGATCACCCGGACACGGGCATGAGCATGCGTGAGCCTAGGTGGTCGTGGCAGGCCACAGCAAGGAAAAGAACAGAGCGGCCGGAGATGACAATGGGCTTGACTGACAAGCGAACCCTTCTGCCAGCAGAGCTGCCTCAGTCAGCCATCTCCTGGGCGCTGGGGGTTGGGTTGGAGTGAGGTAGATGAGCGAACGAGCGAGAGAAACACATGGACGACCGTGGAAGCCGGAGAGTGAGCTTCGGGGCCTGCAGCAGCCAACCGTCTTGGGCACTTCCAGGTCGCACAAGCCATGAGTCGAGGCTCCTTGTGCGTTTGGCAGCGCCTGGCTATAGCTCTGGCTAGAGTCTGCAAGCTGCTCTCTGTTCCGGCCGGTTATACGAAGGTGTCAATTTTGTCTTTAGCATCTCGATGATGAGACAACAGCCGTCGCCGATTCTGTCTGCATCTACCTTAGGTCCCTCAGGTACCTTACGTAGCAAGGTAGATGCGTACAGCCAGCCCACGTGAAGCTGAACCACCAAGGGAGCTAGCTGTATGGTACATTTGTGGTGCATCCGTGGTGCCACTCCACTACGAGGCCCCACGTTTTCCTGTTAGCGCCCCTGCGAGGGTTCTGTTTGGGTCTGGCTTGGGGGGCTCGGGGGGCTTGGGGGCCCAAGTCGGCCCTCCAACTTCAATGAACCAAGGGCCCTCACGTCACCTGTTATCAAGACTTCTCCACTGTCGCTGCAATAGTCCTGGCTCCAGCCTTCCTGCCGCCTGTCCTCATCCTTGCGCGCGCCCCGCCCCCTTCTCTGCCCTTCCAGCCTGCCAGTCTGCTGGAAGGTGGAACTGCCAGTCTGCTGGAGGGTGGAACTGCCAGTCTGCTGGAGGGTGGAAGGTGCTGGTTGTCCAGCTCCGAGATCCGCTTTGGCTTTTACCTTCGCTGTTGCCATCGCCGTCGCTCACCTCTTCTTGATCCCTCTCTCTCTCGCCTCCTGCGATTTCTTCTCGCTTCTGTTATCCACCTCCTCCGAGTCGTCTTACCTCGTTTGCCTGCAACTCATCCCAGAGCGGCAAACGCTCTTCATCTCGTTCATCGCCAGCACCTCCGTGGCCTGCCCGCTTCCCCTTCCCCTCCCCCACCTCAACAGTATCGTCACCTGTCGAACGACCCCTCTTGTTCCAAACCCCAACCGTCCACGCCAATCAGTGCCAGCCAGCAACGTCGAAGATCACCCCACGGGACAAAAAAAAATTACAGATAAGCCCTCCACGCTCCCGCTCTGCCATGGCCGACAACACGGAAGGCTCCGGCGACGCCCAGATCACCTTCAAGGTGAAGACGGGCGGCGACAAGACCCACACCATCACCATGTCCGAAGGCGCCACCGTCATCGAGCTCAAGACGACACTGGCAGGCGAGGCATACGAGAACGTGCCTGCCGAGCGCCAGCGTCTGATCTACTCGGGTCGCGTCATGAAGAACGACGACACGCTCGCCACCTACAAGATCAAGCCCAACAACACCATCCACATGGTCAAGTCGGCCGCTTCCAACCCCACGCCCCAGCCTGCCAATGCCTCCTCCAACGCGGCCCCCGCCGCCGTCCCCAGCAACATGGGCGCTGGCGTCGGCAGCAACCCCCTCGCCGGCCTCACCGGCGCACGGTACGCCGGTCACGTCAACCTGCCGAGCCGTGAAATGTTTGCGCTGATGAGCGTGAGTATCCCTTTTCGCTGCTCTGCCGATGCTACTGCTGCAGTTTCGCTGACTCCGCTGTCTAGATGGGCGCCCCCCCT